GGTCAAACAGTAAACAATAGTCAACAACAATAGGTATGAGAAAGACTGGTCCCATTTATTATTAACCAATGGGTTACATATTTTTTTAAACTTAAACATGTGAATATTGTACAATTAAATACAATAAATACATAATAAAATAGAAAAAGCTGATACATCGCCTCAATAAATCCAGTACAAACAAAATATACTTTTAAAATCTAAAATAACTATCCAGGGTCACTTAAGTTATTTATGCTGAATTATGCTGGATAGAAATCTTGAGCAGACTACTGGATGGACTGCTACTATCGGAGCGCTAATGTTGGARGTTTTAGATGCAGGCCGATATAATCCGACATTCATTTTTTGGCTAATATCGAACCAATATCTGATATTGATATCAGATCGGGACACCCCTAGTTTATTTATTTTTAAATTTAATTTTAATAAAGGTAAAGGGGACGTGCCTATTTAAAGGTATGTGCTTGTGTGTGTTGGGGCTATTATGTATTTTCCAGGCATAGTTCAGTTCTATACCATAATCAAGAAACCTCAAGTTACCTTCAGTTGTTACTAAAAGTGGGTTAAAATTTTCTTTTTATCTTACAGAACTCTAGAGAACAGTTATTTAAATTAAAATAAGGTGAATTYGTTACAACTAACGCCGTCTTTCTTTGTGTGTTTTTCAGTGAAGAAAGCCAAGCTCCAGGGACCACCAGGTAAGAGATAATAGTACTTCAAAGAATATCTCCTGTATTTTTATCGCCTGTCATGAAAATGTTCCATATTTTAACACAGATATAAAGAAAATAGTTTAGCTGAAGAAATTTCCAAATTGCAAGGGCCTTGATTGTTTTTTTTTTTTTTTTTTTTTTTGTGTGCATTTTATTGTTGATGAATCAATGCATTTTAAAGGCGTCTGTTGAGTTTGTTTCATGTAATCATTGTTGGAACATGACATTTCCTCAAGTAAGCTAATTGATTAAATTCTGACAAGTCACTAAACACAGAGTTGATTTATGTAATCCCTTGTCCTTACATGGCAGGAGTGGACAAGTGAGCTTAGATTGCTTACTTCTAAGTCTAAATCCCCATGCTCTCCACCTAAGTAAATCCATCCAGTGTCCACACTCACACCTTATTGTAAGCTCTGTGACAATTCTGCCAAGAGTTGACAGAAAGTTGCATCATCTTTGGACGTGCTATGATATTTGATTCTCCTTTTACTGTAAATGTAATCATCCAGTAGGTCTCTGCACATGTTCAGCTACCCCTTTATTTATAAAAAAAAGTAGCTAACTTTGTTGGACTTTCAAATCATCCCTTTTTGTGTCCTCCTCCCTGCCTTAGGTGACACAGCATGTACCACTTGTCCCAGAGCAAACATTGGTAATCCAGTGAAGCTAGTAATCTCCCAGAAGTGAAATGTTATTGTGAGATGCATAATATTTTTTTTTCTGCTGCAGATGAAATAGTTTTAGGTAATTATTTCAGGTCTACAAATTCTTTTTAATAATTAACTTTCAGATGAGCATTTTCCAAGAGTTAGCTGGTAATGTGATGCAACATGCTAACCAGAAATTATCATGTAATGTATGTGAACAACGACTTTCAAACTAAGACTCAAYATAAATAACAGCAAGAACTAGATTAATATCTTTTGATTGCCTATTAGTGTAATGTAACCTCAATAACCTCAACCCAGCAACTATAAACCATCAACCAATGGTATCAGTGATCACTGAAGCTGTGACCACTGTTGGTGTTGAGGAAAGATCTTCTACTTTAAGGACACATTCAAAGGCAAGTTAATGTTTTCTATTCTGTGTGAATCTACATTTTTTTTTATCAAGCTTTTAGATTTGACTGCAGTTAAAGTGGATGATACGTGACATCCAAGAAGGATTTTCTAAGATCAAGACWTTTATAGGACTTGAGCACTGGATCTTTTGTTTATTTTTCTTGTCTTCCCCCTTTGTAAATTCTTCTTTTCTTTTTCATTGTTCATCATTTCCTGGTGATAAGCCCTGTTTGCTCTTCTTAGGGAGATGTGTGAAGAAGGCCTTACAGTTTACATAAGGTTGGTCTGTGATGGATGTTCATGGTGAGCCTTCACCACACCCGCAGTTGGACAGCTTTTTGACCTTATTTTGAAACTCTTACATGCAGGGGAGTTCCTGCAAAATATGAGTACATGTATAATCCARTGTGACCTTGGGTGGGTCAGGGCCCAGCTGTGTCGCTTTCCACTGAGTGCCAGAGGAAACCGGAGCTAGATAAAGACTGAAATGTTGGAATTACGCTGTTCCTGCCTACAAGTGTAGGTGATTGTTTTTCCTCTTTAGAGGCCATGATTTGTCCAACATAGAATAAAGAAAAAGAGAACTTCTTGTAAAGTAGTCCCAAAAGTTATGCCTTCCATTGCATGCAGCATTTATGAGTGGTTTGACTTGTAAATGTCAGCCTTCCAACTGACTACGTTTTTCTGACTAGTGTATTGAAAAACTCAACATCAATCAATAATAAATGAAGACAGCAGACTTTTGAGGACTCGGGGTGAGTGGGTGGTTTAACGACACAAGTAGTGAGTTCTGTCTCAGAACATCATCCTGCATTTCTCTTAATCTAATCCCTAAATGTGTATATGTGACTGGGCATACWTTTATATGCATACATAATGCCAACATACAGTACATGGTCAGCCTACCTTTGCAGAGTGAAACATTTGGTAAACATAAAATGTCTTAAATACTATTTAAAAAAGGTTTGTCATCATCACCATAGAAGCTGATAACACATTAAATGGATTTGGATATCTTTTCAGAGGTCTTACTTTTTTGAAAAGTTGCCTGCTATAAAACATATAAAAATTAAATTAAGTTAAAAAAAGAAAAAATGTTTTATAAACTCTGTTTTAAAGGGTTGAATAGTTAATTTGAATGTGAATATTTTGTTTCTTTTAATWTATTTTAACAACAGAAACCATTAGAGATTTGGAATTTCATTTGTGTCCTGACTGAGACAGGCAGCCGTTCAAAGCAGGACTAAAATACGTTACATACACACATAAAATACATCTGTACATGCTTGCATACATACAAATGATGTTTACATAATACAGAAACATAAAATATCTCTATTACTAATAAAAGCTAAAATAATTTACATCCAGGTGCTTGTTATTTTTAAAATGTCTAAAATTTGTTTTGATTTATTCACTGATAAGTTCCTTCAAATTCAACTACTTTTGGTTCTGATTACAAAAGTGTTGGACCACAAAATTATTTTCTCCCTAAGTCGGTTAAAGAGTTTGGTACAGTCAAAAGAAGGAAGTCGGGAACAAACTAAAGAGCCTCCTTTGCTTATTTTGGAGAGTGTAAGTTTCTACTGCAGATATGGTGTGGAGAAGGCCAAGAATAGCTTTGTAAATTGATATATACACTCACCGGCCACTTTATTAGGTACACCACGCTAGTAACGGGTTGGACCTCCTTTTGCCTTCAGAAC